TTTATACTATATGTATAGCTTACAATTGTTTAATAAAGCACACATAACTAGCCTGACAGAGGGTTTAAAAAAAAAAATAAATAAAAAATAAAATAGTTATAAAGAAAATATTAAGGATGATTAGATACTATATAAACAAAAAATATTTTTATATTAAAAAGAAGTTTAATAATAAAATTAAATGAAACAATTTTTCAATTAACTCATATATAATATTTGAAATTTTTTAATTATAAAAATAATATTTATAAAGTAACATTACTGCTTATTGTTTTAAAAAAAGAACTAATTGTTGTAAGTCAAAAAATTTTTACAAAACTTTTAAAGCTAGATTTTTTTATAGATGAAACTACTTTTTAATTTTTTTATAATATAATGAATAGCATTATACAAGTTTATAATTTATTAAATTAATTTTTAAAAATAGAACATAAATATTTATATTAATTCTTTCTCTGCTGATCTTTGACCACATACAATAAAGATGTTCACAAGAAGATTTTATTCTTCTTGACTAATAATGTCTTTCTACTTTCTTTAAAACAACTTGAAGCTTGTCTTCAATAGTTACTATTATCCTCTACTACTTGTTTACAAACTCTTTTGAACAAAACCTTGAGCCTCTAGTAGCCTGAATAGACTCAAGTACATACTTCTTTTATTAAAAGCAAGAAGATTCTAAGAAATAAAAGAATCAACTTATAAAATATCACTTTTTAAAACTGGACATGATATAGAGATAGAGATTTTTTTGGACAGGAGAAGATTTATTATTTACCTTCTCATATACTGTCTCTTGTTCTCTTAGAGTATCTATAGTTTTTTTATAGTTTTTTTGAGAAATTTTATCTATTCCAGCTTGATTCTGAATTTTTAGTAGTACAATATTATCTGGTTTTTAATTGGCAAATATAAAACACAGTAGTAAGATATAAACAAGGTTCCATTAGTCATATTCACATATTCCAATGAGTTATTGGTGAAATAAAAGAGAATTAATTGATATAAAATCTTCTACTTCTTCAAATGAAGTATAATCAAAGCAAAAAGATCATAAGATCATTAGGATAGACATTAAATTTTCTAGGTAGTGAAAAAGTGATTATTTGTTAAAACTGAAATATTCAACTTCTTATCCTTTTAGTCAGATTAATTATACAAAGAAGGTTATTTCCTTATCCTGATTAGGCAATAAGATCAAAAAACAGAAGACTGGAAACTATTGTCCTTTTCTAGAATTAAGAATACATTTTTCAGACATGTGTAATAATATTATAATCAATGAGAATTCCTATTGCTTTTCTAAAACCCTTCCACTATTGTAAGGCAAAAAGATTCTTGAAAAACAATTTTTTGGGCAATAGAAGATATATACCAATAAAATTTCTTTAACTAGACATGACTGCTGAAAGATTCAATAATTATACAATATGATCAAAAGGTTATATAAGAATCTAGAATTTACTATAAGTCGTTAAGGTTTGCGTGGGTGAATAAAAAATCAATACTAAAAAAAAGGAAGTGATGAGCAAGAAGCTAGATCTAAGTAAGTGATAAGTATCTCAGATAGTTATAAGAAAATAATCAAGATTATAAATGGGTAAGTTTCTTAAATGGTTAAGAAAAAAAAGAATATTTCAAAAGAGTTGACTTCTAATGAGAGGAAATCTTTATTAGAGATCCTTTGAAAAATATGAAGCAGTTTTATTTTATTTTTTTTTTCTCTTTATATATATACAATTATATACTTTTAAATATATTCCCTTTTTTTATTTTTTATTTTTTCTATTATAGTTTCCAAAATCAGTTTTTTAGAGGATAATCGGTAGCAACAACCTGTTGGTAATAATGAATAAGTTGGAAGGATCTTTATTCAGAACTTATCCTAAAATGAAATATTGTTTCCAAGGTTGTACTTAGGAGTTTATTTGAGAATTAAAAGTTATTGACGAGTAAGTCAGCATAAGATTTAGTTTAGCTATAATATATTTGTCCAATGTATTACAAGCAGGTTTTATTATTTACGATTAATAAATATACTATGTTGATCTGATCACGAGCATTAAAAAAAAAAAAGAATGAAAATATTTATATGAAAGAGTTTAATAAAATAAGTAAGATTAAATTATTTAATTTTAAAAAAATAATTATAAGTAAATTTATATAAGTATTTTAAAGAAAAACATTGGTATTAATTAAAAAAAATGTTAGTTTTAGTAAGATAATGATTCAAAATATACAAATTATATTATAAAGTCATATTTTAAATTTTATATTTCCAAAGTTTTTAAATAATTAATTAATAGTCTGAATTTAAATCTAATCAAAAACTTATAAAAAATAATAATGACAAACATTATAAAAAGAATATTATAGAATTTAAATAACTTATAATGGTAATTATATTGATTACTAAAATATTATTAAAATAAACTATATATTTTTATCTTTTGAATAAGTAGCCGTTTGCTATAATTGATTTGATTATTATGAAATTAGATGATAAAAATTTTTTTCAAATAATTTTAAATTATCTATAAATAAATATAATAAAATTTTAATATATATAAAAAATTTTTTTTAAAATATTATTTTAAAAACAATAATTCAAAAATTAAATTATAATTATCAAACTATTTAAATCAATATATTTTTAAGCTATACTATATATTTATTTAAAAAGTTTGATATTTATAATTAACAAATCAACTAAATAAAGTTTACTTTTATTGTATTATAATAATACAGTATAAAATATATATTACATTGCATGTAAATGAAATGCAAAATTTATTTTATCTATTTTAAAAATGAATTTATATCACCAGTATTGCTTTAAATACCATAATTGAAAATTAAAAGTATAAATAAGAAGTATTTCAATTATAAAATATACAATAATATATTTTTTTATTGACAAATAACAAATGAATAAGTTAATTTATATAGTGCAATATTAAAAATATGATAAATATTAATGAATTCTCAATAAAAAAGTCATAATAGAATCTCGTGATTAATAGTTATTTATTTTAACTACTAAAAAAAAATATGCCAACAAACAATGCAATTCATGATTTGTTACAAGTACAAAATAGTTTTCATAGAACTTGTCAACAAAAAATGTAATGTATATGTAAGCACACGAGGTACATCGGGTCGGGCTAAACCACGGTTTGATCAGAAAAAAATTTTTTTTTTTTTTTTTGAATCATGTCATTCCATACGCCAAAAATGGGTCACAAAAAACGAGAAACGTTTAATGCGGTGGAAGTCACTCGAGCCATTCCATTTAGAAACAATCGAACACCGACGAAGTGAGATACCTGACCTCCTGTGCTTGTCTTTCGCAAGCTTTGTTAGTTTTAGAGTATAACCAGGACTAATTATTACATTATTACACGTCCATGCGTCCCGCGGATCTATTTATGTTTATTCGGAAATGCCCTTGACCCTGAATGCAGTCATTGCTCGTGCCTCTGGGATGGTCATTTTCACAAGCGAATATTATATTTCAAATTTTCTTCTTTTGACCTTTAATTAGAAAATAAGGGGGATTCTAACTCGAGTTACTTTTCTACATCACCAAAGATGCAGTGTCAGTATGCACAATTCAAAGAGGATCCAAAGTATTAATAACGAACAACAATAATTTATGGCGGCACCTTTCCCCATGCTTAATCGGTTAAAAATGCTTTGATAATGTAGATGGTTCCGTTGTGCAGCGTCGCTGCGATCTTGGTGCAATTGTAATTCCATTTGATACTCATAATGTCGTTCCCTAAAATATGACTCTCACGTATTTTATATGATTTGGCGTCAATTATGTGCAAGAGGTTGTCCGCAGATCCGGTCGCAAAGTATAAGCCGTTTGAACAGAATTCGATTGCGTTGATGTGTGACTTGCTCGGAGAAAAGTCATGCAAGCAGATTCCTTCCAGTGCACTCCAGATTCTTACCACACCACTATTCTGTGAAGTGGTTAGCAGTAAGGTCTCGCTATCATTCGATTTCGGATGCCACTCTGCGCATGTGATAGGGCCATCCTTTGCCTGAAGAGTTTGCAAGGGATTTTGGTGACCTTCGGACCAGATTTTACACTTTCCATCCTTCGAACAAGAGGCCAAATAGTTTTTCGTGGGATCCCATTTGATGGAAAAGACCTCATCATCATGACCAGCAAATTCCATGATTGGTTTATCCCTCATCTTATAATCCCATAGGAATATTTTCTTATCGTTGGAACAAGATGCAAAAATCTTGTCATCCTTCCAAGCAACGTCGGTCACTGTGTCTTTGTGCATTTCGGCGAAACGCATGGCATGACCATCTCTGTTCCAGCAGATTACGTTCTTGTCACAACTAGCGGTCAAAGCTCTTAATCCTTTGGGGCTCCATTTTATTTTTAAGGTGCTTTCCCTGTGCTCCTCAAGTTTTCGGTGCAAGAGACCGCTGTTTATCTTGTAGACGGTCGAAAGTCCATTGAAATATGAGCAAGCAATTAGATCATCTTGGATAGGATGCCAGTCTAACCAAGTTATGAACGCGGTCTGTGTATTTAGCCAAGGTGGATATTCAATTTTCTTCGGTTCCTGGAGTTTTTCACTGGGTTCGGGTATGTTCCATATGCGTAGGATTCCATCCTGCCCCCCAGTCGCCAACACATCTTCCTTTGGTTTCCACGAAAATGAAACCAATTCTTCGCCGGGAACTTTCAACAACAAATGGTTTGAGGATTCTAACTTGTAAACGACAGGATTTGCCATCGAAGCTCGATCACTTGAAGATTTTTTTGTGGGACCCAACGTGCCAGCCGGTGGACCATACAGAGGCGAAGGAGAACTCGTGGGAATATCTATTTCCATATCGTCATTATTATCATTCTGATTATTCTTTAATTCGTTAATTTGATCACGTTGACGTGCGTCGATGTTTTGAGAATCTCTTTTACGTTCCCTCTCTATGATGTTTACCTCCTGATCCATGACCTCCAGCCTAGCCTCCACATCATTAGCCTTGGTGGATTCTTCTTCGGGCGAACTTCTAGGATCGATTCTTTCGTTTTCGTTGTCGTTGATTAGCATATTTTCTTCCGTTGAGTGAGAAGGAGTCGACGGTGCATCACATTGATGAACACCTATCAACTGCACGGGGACGTGACAATCTATAGTTCGCCCTTCTGGTCGCGCGTGTATCGCCAAATCTCTTAGTTGTAGTCCTTCTTGAATGATCCTGATCAGTTCTCCAGTTCTAATGTCGGTTTCTTTGAAACCCAGCTGATTCGCTTTACTCTCCTCATTGAAAACCCATGCGGAATGTTCGAAACTTGATTCTTTTAGATAACGATAAATGAGATAATTTACTTGATCACTTGAGAGCGCTACGTGATTCATTTTCTTTTTTTTTAATAAAGAAAGAAGGTTTTATAATGGATTACGTATTATTTATCTGTACGTTCTGGTTGCACAAGAAAGAGCCAATCATCACCGAATATAAGAAGTCACATGAGTCGATAAATTGTGCCTGACGTTATTTTTGTTTACCGGTAGTGAGAAGAAAAAAAAAATAAACAGTTTATGTTGGTCGTTTATTATTCACGACAGCAAATAGTCCTTTCTTTTTCTTTTAGAAAGATAATTAAAAATAATCTTACCGCTGCATTGTTCAAACATAAAAGCCAATTTCATGTGCTGATCATACCACCTGTGACGGTGCGTCGGTGAAAAGACGAAATGAATGTGTCACCGCATTACCATATTCGGAATAATCACGTGGACAATTAATGGATGGTGGTGCGCATCTTTCCGAACTGCATGAATTCAAACATTGGAATTTTCAAACAAGGACAAATTACCGCTACACTACAAAATGATTGCATTGGTTCCATTCGGACGCATAATATCGCGAGCATATATGGCCGGAAAGTAAATTCGCGGAGGAAGTGAGTAGAGGGGAAACGCATTTGGAACAAATGAAATTGCAGGCTGCGGCGCACATTTTGCACGAGGGACTATTTATCGGGTGGCAACAATACGCAAGCAACATCCAGTGAGATTGGCAGGTTTCTACCTTTCTGGTAAGATACACACCAAAACAAGTGCCATATGCGGAAATCCAGGACCCTAAATATTCAGCCTAAAAAAAAAAAAAAAAAAAAAAAAAAAAAAAAAAAAAAAAATTTTTTTCTTGTGGCTAAGGCTTCTTTAATACGAGATTCACCGATAACCGTTATGTAGGCCCCACTCAACTTAAAGTATCGGTATTAGATATATGTTCCTATCATCGGTACTTAATGTGGAAGACTACATTCGTACGCGGTGTGCAACATGTGCTGTGTGCGACCATTCGTGCACGATTTTTTCTGCTCTGTTAGTTAATTCAACATCCATCCCTCCTTGTGGACAATCAGAGCACGGTTGCACAGTTGTCCGACGGCACCCTCGATTGCTTGTTTCAAGTGAAACGTCCCCCAAAATTCAATATACGTGGTCCCTTGTTCAAGGGATTTTAACCAGTTTGTCTGGTTTAGGAGACACAACTTAACATTTGCTTTGTTACTAAAGTTGTGTTAAGATATCGTTTTTGTTCTTTTTGACACCGAGATATATATTCTCATTGTCACTTAAACTCGCACGGAGTCAAACAGTTTTTGAAAAAGCTTAACTTATTATTAGTCAAAAGTTTTTTTTTTTTTTTTTTTTTTTTTTTTTCCCTCCATAAATTATTTTTCTCCTCGTCTGTTTAATAACCACTGTTATTCAGTATCTCAACTTTTGCTCACCATCCCATTTCACAACCTCAAGAATCCAAACACTACATTTAACCGAGTTCAACTATCCATTCGTAGAATTTTTTAGCGAAATAAAAACGGAATAACTTATTGTTAAGAATGCAGTCACCCTCGTCGATAGGTGATTTTCCGCACTCTCCACCTTCGGCTCCTTCCAAACGTAATTACGAGTTGGAAAATCAGTTTGAGACATTTTTACAACGGCAACAACAGCAAGCAGCGAAGACGTGCATCCCAACCCCCGTCAATAACGGTAACACTAAAAAACCCTCAACCACCACCACCACAACCACCACCACCACCACCACCACCACCACCACCACCACGACTACCACACAGAACAACAGGCCCGGAGTGGCAACGAGTTTCTTGTATAAATTAACAGAAATTGCTGCCTACACTTCGGCCGTTGCTACCGAGGCCTATCAAACGTTGACTGTGGGGGCGAAGGTTGATCAGGAAACCCCGAAAAATGGAACTCTCAGGTCTCGAAGAGGCTATAGTCAGTATTTCGATGACGAAGATATAATGCAAATTGGTGATAATTCGGACGATCCGGACGGGAATGACGAAGATATAACTGATTGTGAAATCAACCAAGGTAACGGTGATATCAACAAAGATGAAATGGAAGATAAACTTGATAGAAAAGGGCAATGTTCATGGGCGGCAAACGACGATGAAGACGAACCTCCTCCACCGTATGATAGTTCCTGGGCAATGGTCAGTTGAATTTCTTTTATTTTGTTTCTTTATTTTTATTTTTAAATGTGGTGCTGGTGCTTATTATCTATCCTTATTCTTTATTTTTTTGCTGCAGCCGGCTCCATCCACGACCAAAAACAATGGAGTTTCCCCCCTCGACATACAAGGCTCTACTGCGAAATCCTCTTCGAGACAAATACATTTCGCAAATGCACCTGCCGAGTCAGAGTCTTCTCCGATTGACATCTCGTCCACCACCCCACCCACATCCACCAAGCGTAGGCAGATTCGCGTGCGTCGTCCCAGGCGGCCACTTCGACGCAAGTCTTCATCCAACGATATTTCCATTCAAAGGGGGTATGAAGATCAAGATCAGATGTTGCTCAAAGTTAACGAAAAACTGGCCGACATGATCGCCCAGGGTAAAGCCGCATTGAAAAGCACTGTTGATGTTACTGAGGTTGAAATGATGGTCGCTGAGGAAAGAGAGCGTGAAGTTCGCATTATGAAAGAATTGGGTCTTCAAACGCCGAATAATCGACGAAGAAGAAATACAGGTTCATCGTCGGACTACGATTACTTTGGAGGCTCTTTGTCTGACTCGGGAAGTTACTCAGCACCCGAGTCCTCATATTGCGATTACGGATATGGTCTCGGTAGCGGTCCCGAATCGCCATGCAATAAGCACACATCACCCATTCACTATAATACGCCTACACAGTATGGGTCTCCCGCAGCATTCAATACGTCCTTTGGGTATAATTCGACGATACATGACGATCACATTATGTTGGGCGGTGGCGGTTCCCACGGGATGGTTCCGAATAACAGTGGTTCGTCATCAGGTAGATTCGGGAGTGCAACACAAGGCAGATATGGTGGTTCTGTTCCACCAAGTGCATATGGAAATCCATCGGGAAGTTTTGGCTCCAATGGTGGTCCACAAGGTTTCAATAATTCGAAGCAAAGTGGAAGCTCCTATGTTGGTCCAAATTCTGGCGGTTACGGGCAGAATGTTGGGCTTGGATCTAACGGAATGTATAATAATCGGGAATTCTTATACTGAACTTCGTTTAATAGAGATATATAGAAATTGCTTTTTATAAATTTATTATTGTTATTACTATTTTTTCCGTCAAACATTAAAAGGAAGGGTTTTAATTCGAGGGAGGATAAGTCGAGTGAAATTAACTTCAAAACTTTTTTTTTTTTTTTTTATTCCGGAGACTGGTCTTCGAATCTTTTTTTTTCATTTTTAGAATTTGTTAGGTGGCGAGAGTGTATACTCTATATAATACAACCAATCTCCGGAAACACTTGACATTCTACTATTTTATTCTTCTCTAATTCCTATTGTCTAGACACGATTTTAATTTGTACATTGACAATGGTACACTTTTTTCTTTTCTTTTTTTTTTTTTTTGTCCTTTTATTCCCTTCAAAAGCACAAAAAATTCGGGTCATATGGACTCGGTTATTTTGTTGACCTTTCTCACATTTTTCAATTTGTCAAATACTTTTCTCACGTTTATTATATTATGTACAACACGTTATTAAATCAAGAAAAAAAAATCCTCATTCCTTTAGTCACTTAAACCACGATAATTTTCTTTTGTACATATTTATTTCATTTAAAAAATTCTTCTTCCCTCCTAATTTCCCTTCTTTGTAAATTTTTTTATCGATTATTACATGTACTTTTCGTAAAACCTTCAGAGATTTTGACTAGATGTTAATGGTGACAAAAATGGCGTTTTTTTTTTCTTTTTGATGTCAACTTTCCATCTGAGATGGAAAAAATAGAATAAAAATTTTCATTTTTCTTTAAAAAAAAATTTTTTTTTTTTTAATGTGATGCTTCACCTTGATGTTTGCTTTGATTGTGCGGGTTGTACTTTGGTGCAACAAAAATCATTAGACTTATAAGTTTTTGTCATGACAATATTTCTTATTAGGAAATTTAAGATCACAACTAGCGAATTGAAGATATCATTTTCAACTAATCGTAAAAGAAGAGTATTCGTTATATGCAATATAAGAAATGAAATTGACCAATGTTTTAATTAAGAATATATATAATTCGTTATCTTCGGAGTCCGCAAAGACCAAAAAACAGATTCATCTACAAAATGTCAATTTTAGAGTCTATATGATATATTTTATTTATCAATATACGTCATTGTTTGCATGTGCCAAGTTTATAATACTGTAATACTGTATATCAGATATAGAAAAAGAAAAAAACGATAGAGCATTTAATATTTCCTAAATATCAAGAATACAAAGAAAGTAAGCAAGTTTTGTTAAAAACTTTTTTGATACGTTAAAATCAAAACCAGTAAAGGAAGTAAACAAGTTTTGCAAAAAGCTTTTTTGATAATTTAAAATAAAAACTAATAAAAGAAGTAAGTTTTATTTAAAAAAAAAAAAAATACAAGAAGATAAATTATAAATCCTAATAATTCTTAAATTTTGGTATCAATATTTTAAAATTATTTAAATAAATTACTTTTTTTGAAGATTATAATATTTTAAAAAATTTTTTAATAATCTTTTTTATTTTAAATAATTTAAATCACTTTTATTATATCTTATAGCAACAAGTTCAATAACCATATAAACCTTTACTAATTGAAATTATATTATTCAATAGTTAAATTCTTGTCAAATTTGATTAAATTTAATAATAAAAATATTAATAAATTCTTTTAGATTGTTGCTACTTGACATATTACTATTTTGATAATAAAATAGTAATCAAAAATTTAACAATAAAAAATTCATTAAAACAGAAATTTGATAATTAATAATTCAACAATAAATCATTAAAAAATTTATTATCAATTTATTAAATAATTTATTGACTATTTAACAAAAATTTATTAACAATTTAATAAA